TAGGTTAACATCTGAATTCCTAGAGTTAATTTTGCCCACTTAACAGTCAACAAAAGAAGAAATCCACTGAAGTCAAGATATTTGGTGCTCTCTGGACTTGTACAGAATACAACAATGTCCCCTTGGAGGGATTCATTTAACACACTGCACAATCTTCTTGTCATCTGTCTCAATGGGCTTTTCCTTTTCTTTTCCTCTTGCTCTTCCCATCCTTTTATTCCTCACAACCAAGAAACCCTAGGCTTTGAAATACAGTCACTGCCAGAGTCAGCTCCCCCATTCCCTCTAAGTTCTAGCTTTCACTCTAATCTGGATAATCAGAAAATGTCTTCCCATCAAATAGGATGATATTCCTGAAATAAAATGTTACTGAAATAAATTCTGATTATATATTTTTTTCAACTCACAATACCCATATAAATTTATGCCTCAATCATTCATTCAATGAAAAGTGATTCTAAAGTTGCATCATTAAAAAAATATGGATGCTATAACCATGTGTATGTGTGTATTTTCAAATTTCTCCCATCTTCAAAATAGTAGTAACAACACCAATCCAAATAAATAGTCTTACTCTTTTCACTTGCAACTTCTTCAAAAATATTCTGTTTCTATTTTCTCTACATCTACTTTCATGGCATTTTCTCCTTTTTTGGCTTGTCTGATATTACTCTTTGTTTTGTTTCATCCTGCTTTTTTGGTTATGAAATGAGGTACTGAAACATGAAGGCTTTGATGTTGAGTTGGCTTTTGTGTTACCTCAGCCCTGCTATATACGAATTGTGTGATTTTGAAAATATTGTGCCAGCAGAGCCTCAGTCTTCTCATTATTGAAATCGTGATGACTGTATCACAGGCTCTTTTGAGAATTAAATATTTTAACATGTAAATGGCTCAGGTTATAGTATGTGTTTATTAAATGTTAGGTACCTCAATATACTTCTTCTTTCCTTTACCTTAACTCATCTCAAATGTACCTGACAGCTTTAGTGATTGATTTATCTCCTCACTACTCCCAGTCCAAGTCTTTTAATCAGGCTTGACCAAAGCATTCTTTTCTCTTCTAAATAAATAATTCCATCCATGAATATGACTTTTAGCCACTTTACAGTGAAGATATCTTTATCTTCATATCCAGATTTGTTATCTTTTTCTCTCATGAATTATATGTCATTTGGAAAGTTTTGCTCATGGAAAACACAGGCCTCATCATTTCATCAGGCCTGGTCTTCCTTATTGCAGTAAATGGACTTGACTCCATAACTACTTTTTTAAAGTAAAGAACTGCAAGAAGCTTACACAATTCCTTCCTCTCCCCCCACTTTCCACATATAATCAGCAACTAAGTCTAGCTAATTCCATCTTCTAAATGTTTCTCAAATATGTCTTCTCTCTCATACTCTTCATACGTAATTCTTCAGCTGCAGTACCACAATAGTCTACCTTCATAACACCTGTCTTCAAGATAAGTTCAAGTCACCTTACATATCACTGGCAAAGCAATCATTCTAAAACCTAAATGCATTCCTCTACCTGGAATATTCACTCCTCATATTATGTTTCTCCTAAGTCACTGTCAAATAACTGAAAAAAAATCTATAAAAAGCAACTCAAGCATTAACTTCTCAGGGAACAGTGGCCTTATCATCCAACCATAGATTTGGTGCTGCATCTTGTAGTACCATAGGAACAGGGACATATTTTACAGGGACATATAAACATGCTTATCTTTCTCAGACCATAGTTTATCATATTGTGAGTAGTGGTATAATTTTCTGTATTTCTCACTAGATAAGGAGTTTCTAATGTCATGTGTAATGAACATTTATTTGGCGAATAATAATTGCCAGGGAATATGCTAAAACTATGCACAGATTACATCATTTAATCCTCACAAACTCCTGTGAAGTAGATAGTATTATTATGAACAGTTAACAGATGAGGAAACTAAAGTCACAGAGGTTAAGTAACTTGCTGACTGTCTCTTAGCTAGATGGTAATGAAGACAAAATTCAAACTTAGACAAGGTAGCTCCACGCTGGTTTTCTCAAGAACTATCTACACTCTCTCCTTTACAGATCAATAGCCATTTCTCGTTTCTATATCTTCAATGTGTAGGATAATGTTAAAACAGTAACAGATACTTTGTAAATATTCACGGGATGACTGAATGATGAATGAATAAATGAATTTTTAATAGAGTGCTTTTTGCTTTGATATACTGGATTTGCATTAACAGTAAGATTTGACCAGAGAGCAAGAAACTGCTTGCACTTAAAACGCTAACGAAAACTGTATTTGAGTTAAAACATAATAAAAGGGAAAAAATACCGTATCTTTAAAATTTGGGAGTATTCTTATAGATTATAGGGATTAAATGATCGCTGTTTTGAATAAATGTATAAGCCTGTTTTACGCTTAGATTCAAAATATAGCTATATACAAAATGAATCTGCAAAATTGTGTTTGCTTCCCCCCTCCCACTGACAAATTTAGCAATTTTAGAGATGGTGACCATGAGCAGTCTAACAAAATACAATATCATCAGATTTCTCATCTGTACAATTAGTACAATGGGCTATGGAGTCTCAAAGGTCCCTTCTAGTTCCATCATTTATAATCTTCTGACTTAATTTATATCATATGTTTTACTAGTGCACAGCATGTTTTCTTTTAGTTCCAGACTAATTTCTTTCTTTTTCTAAGTCTATAGACTAGTGCTAATTGTCATGCCTAATCTATAGGCCAATTTGTAAGGGAAAAAAATCCACTGGGGATATTGCAAAGAATCCACAATTTGCAGAGGGTAGAGTGGGAAACCTGCTGTGCCTGGATTGAAACAGCTGTTTCGAGAACCTTAAGCATCTGGGGAAGTCATCCAGAGAAAGGCCATCCACTGTGCTTTGATCTCTCCACTGAAGCACTGCCTGCCCATATGCTTGGTGAGAGTCCAGCCTGTTAGACCCATGCCTAGGGCTAGCTTTTCCCTTTGTTTCTGCCCAGGAAATGGCACCAGAGTGTTTCTAAAGTGTAAGTGAAATAAAATTTCATTATGGTAGAGCTTTGTATGAAACTGAGGTCACATGATACTACATTAATTAAGCTGAGTAAGTCAACATTGTGCTTTACAAGTGAATAAAAGAGAAAATAAAAAGGGATAAAGGGGTAATGTTCAAAAACGTGTGCAGAACTGGACAGTTTCTTAAACGATTCTCAAATATTTTCTCCTTTAACCCCTGTAAGAGTCCTCTGAGTATACTCTAGTTACTTCCATTTTATAGATGGAGAAATTATTTTCAGATAGTTGCTTAAGAGCCCCTAATTAGTAAACATGGGGTCTGGGCCCAAACTCAAATCTCCTGTTACAACCTTCTTATCCTTCCCATCACTGTGCATCATCCTAAGAGAGAGAATGATAGAATAGATATACTCAAGGCATATTTAACTTCCTAAAATAAATTGTATCCATATATAGAAAGCAAACATTTTTATGGAATGAAAAATAATTTGCATTGGTTGTCATTTAACAGACAATTTTATGTACCTTATTTCTGTAAGAATACAAATTATTTTCACAGAATAGTCCATTTTAATATCTTATTCACTCTTAGTGAAAACAGTAAGAATGTTATAGGGCACTGATGATGTATACTAATCAAGCATTATTTGATTCATACAAAAAAACACATTCAAGGGCGCCTGGGTGGCTCAGTTGGTTAAGCGACTGCCTTCGGCTCGGGTCATGGTCCCGGGGTCCTGGGATGGAGCCCGCATCGGGCGCCCCGCATCGGGCTCCCTGCTCTGCGGGAAGCCTGCTTCTCCCTCTCCCTCTCCCCCTGCTTGTGTTCCCTCTCTCGCTGTGTCTCTCTCTGTCAAATAAATAAAATCTTAAAAAAAAAAAAAGTCCCGCGCTCTAAGGAACATGGTTCTATTTTCTAAAGCCTCGATAACATTCTATAGAACAGTGATTGTTAACAGGTAACTGACACACTAATAATATTCTCCTGTTTTTTTGTGAAGTGTCACAAGTTCATTGTTATTCATACAAAGCGTTTGTGTTTTGTTTGCGATTGATTTACTGTTTAAAGACGAATTAGAGAAAATTTCAGGTTAGCATTCCGTTGTTAGTGACTCACTTGGGCTCGGATAAGTGTCCTTGCGTGAGAGACCGCGGTGTGGGGCTGGCGCTGGTGGGCGGGTGTCATCTGCACCAGCACCCTCCGCCCAACCCAGCGAGCGGAGTAATCCGGGTCGCCCCAAGGTTTACGTCCCGGCTCGGTTGCTGTAATACTTTATTTTCCTTCCAATGTTTGAAAAGCTTGGTCAGGGGGCACCTGGGTGGCTCAGGCGTTAAGCGTCTGCCTTCGCTCAGGTCATGATCCGGGGGTCCTGGGATCGAGCCCCGCATCGGGCTCCTGGCTCATTGGGGAGTCTGCTTCTCCCTCTCCCTCTGTCTGCCGCTCTGCCTACTTGTGCTCTCTATCTCTGTTAAATAAGTAAATAAAAATCTTAAAAAAAAAAAAAAAAAGTAAGGATGGGGCACCTGGGTGGCTCAGTCGTTAAGCGTCTGCCTTCGGCTCGGGTCATGATCCCAGAGTCCTGGGATGGAGCCCGCATCGGGCTCCCTGCTCCGCGGGGAGCCTGCTTCTCCCTCTCCCACTCCCCCTGCTTGTGTTCTCTCTCTCTCTCTCTGTCAAATAAATAAATAAAATCTTAAAAAAAAAAACAAAAACACATTTAAAGTCTTAAATGCAAACCCTTCTCTCTAAACCATGGGAAAAGTCAAGGGCATCACTTTGTTAGGACCAACTCATTTTGTATACCTACCTTTGTCAGAAATCATTCATTACCTATCTTACCTCGTCTTCTCCTCATTTACCAACAATACCTCAAAGAACTAAAATCGGCGTTTTCCAGACTTCCCAAGCATAGAACCTAGGAGTCGCACAGAGTAGTTGTTGGGTGGCTCCAAAGAAGTTCTTTAAGTGTGAAAAACTCACCGGAGTGGATATCTTGCCTTTGCCCCTGTCCCTTCTTCCTGAACGGAACGTGGGCAAGTGCTGGTTGTGTAGCTGCCATTTTGGGACTATGAAGACACAGGTATGACACTGTCTGATACGGATGCCTGAAAAGAAAGAACATACGTAATATTGTGGATGGATAATGCAGCTACTGGCCTTGCCCCAGCCTGCCTGGCTCTAGGCTTTTTCCGTGATACAAATACACTGATATTTAGTTAAATCGCTATTATTTGGGTTCTCAGTTATATACAGCTGAACATAGTACTTGACATATTTACCCTGAACCAATCAATATATACAGAGAGAATGATGGGAACTGACTGGCTTATGTCTGTCTATTGCCTCTCACCTTACTAATTTCTGTCCATTTATATATATATTTTTAAATGAAGCCAATCAGGGCCCACACCACAAAAATCAGATAGAAGCTATAAAATGGGAGAAAATCCAGGTCCTGTGAGAAAGGGACAAGAAATAATGAATGACAGGCGGTCCTTCACAAATGTCCACTATAATATCCATGGACCATATTTTATTTAACTAGTCCTCCATTTGGGGATACTTAGACTATTTCCATTTTATTATTATCATAAGCAATGTCTTGTTAAACTCTGCTGTAGATGAATCATTGTAAGAGTTTCTGGGTGTGTATGTTTTGTTTTCTTTTTAATAGATTACTAGGAAGAGAATAACTGGTACAAATCTTATTAAATTTTTTTTTATAATCCTTGACATATTTTGCTAAATTGATTTTAATAACGTTTGTTTCAATTAAACTTCTGCTTCAGGTATATAAGAATGCTCAAAGCAAAGTTACCATCATCATCACCATTTATTTCTATCATCATATATATTTAGTTGCATATGCAAAAATTATTATATTAAATTTAATTTCTCTGATTTAAATAAGTATTTTTTGTTTTAGTTTTTGAATACTATTTTTATTTGTGAATCATGAAGTAGTTAATAAAAATTTCAAAGTATGTGAAGTATAATTTTAAATAAATGTCAATTAAAATCTCCATGGCAGTGGTTCTCAAGCTTGAGTGTGTACATCAGAATCACCTTGAGGGCCTTTTCACCTTAGCTTTACTGAAGTACAACTGACAAATAAACTAGTATATATTTAAGTTGTATAACATTGTAATTTGATATTTGTTTACACTATGGAATAATTACTACAATTAATTGACACATCATCACATCACAGTTACCATTGTTGTATATGTGTGTGATGAGAACACTTTAGATTTACTCTTTTAGCAAATTATAAGTATATAATACAGTATTTTTTTTTAAGATTTTATTTATTTATTTATTTGAGAGAGAGAGAGAGAGAGAGAGAAACAGCATGAGAGGGGATAGGGTCAGAGGGAGAAGCAGGCTCCCCGCCGAGCCGGGAGCCCGATGTGGGACTCGATCCCAGGACTCCGGGATCATGACCCGAGCCGAAGGCAGTAGCCCAACCAACTGAGCCACCCAGGCGCCCTCCAATACAGTATTATTAACTATAGTCATCATTCTGTACATTGTACATTCTGTACAAAACATATTCATCATAACCGAAACTTTTTTCCCTTTAACCAACATCTCGCCATTTCTCCCACCTCCTATTCCCTGACAACCACCATTCTACTATTTCCATGAGTTCAACTTTTTTTAGCTATCACATGTAAGTGAGATCACACAGTATGCCCTCCAGGTTCATCCATATCATCACAAATATATATATCACACATATACATATATCATATTTTCTTTATCCACTCATTCCTCAAGAGACACATTGTTTCCATATGTTGGCTATTGTGAATAATGCTGGCAATGAACATCGGAGTGCAGATATCTCTAAGATACAGATTTCATTTCCTTCAGATATATACCCAGAAATGAGACTGCTAGATCATACAGTAATTCTGTTTTTATTTTTAATTTTAGCTGTATTTCTTTTTTGTGAACATTCAGTTCATGCCCTTAATTAATTTTTCAAGGATTGTATTATCTTTGTCGAAGGATCATCGTTGTCTTTTTCATATGTGCTAAATATTTTTCTAGTTCCTTAACTGTATTTAAAACTCCTTTAAATATTTTGAATTTCAAGATTTCAAATTTTAGAATAGCTTAAGTTTGTGAAGTAGCTTTTGTGTTTCTACATTGCTTTTATATTTAATTATAAATCAGTTATTCATTTATATTTTCTTACCAAGGTATTTTATTAGTTTTTAAAAACAGCTTCTTGTTTTATTGTTTATCTCTATGTATAGTTGATCAATCTGATTTCTTTTTTAAATTTTATTATTTTTATTTTTACCACTTTCTTTTCTATAGTTCCTTTGGGTTGATGATAAGTGTCCAACATGTTTAGGAAAATGCTCATTAAAATTTAATATTTCCTAGTTTCTTTTTAAACATTTTATTTATTTGGTTATTTATTATTTGAGAGAGAGAGAGACAGAGAGAGAGCGAGAGCAGTGCACTGCAGGAGCATGAGCAGGGGGAGGAGAGAGGGAAAGGGAAGGAATCTCAAGCAGATTCCCCTGAGAGGAGGCCCACCAGGGCTGGATCTCAGGACTCTGACATCATGACCTCAGCTGAAACCAAGAGTCTGACACTTAACCAACTGAGCCAACCAGGTGCCCCTAATATCTCCTATTCTCTAAAACAAATTTAAGAATATAAATTTCCCTCCAAGTTCTTATTTAGCTTCATTAAACTGCACACATCATACTGCTGTTCAATCATGATTAGCCTATAGCAGTTAATAAAGTATTTACTCATTTACTTTTCATAAACCCATTTTATATTCCATATCTACAGGTCTGGGAACATCTACTTATTACCGAATTACTAATCTCATGTTGTAATCAGGAATGTTCCTCTATGCGGAGTTGATATTTTTATAATTTAATGGCAGTTCCTTTACAACCTGGAAACATCATTTTTTGTAAATGTTGCATGAATCTTTGAAAAGAAGGGGGGTTGTAACATTAACAAGATGGTGAAATAGACCGTTCCCGATTCTTCCTCTTCCCAAAGAGGGATGCAAGTAATAAGCGGCTACACGTGTAGGATCGCTCTCTGAAAAAATCCAGAAACCGGCTGAGAATCTCCTATACACCCAGTGGCTGAGAAAATACACACAGTGGAAAAAGTAGGAAAAGCTGAAACACACTCTCATCCTAAACGCCACCCCTGGCACAACACCATACAATCCAGAAGGAAACCCCAACTCCCTCCTTTCTCGTGAGGAGCGAAGAAAAGTTCAGACCACGCATCCAAAGCGCCGACCTTTACTATTGCCACCTGAGGAATCGACCCCTAACGCACGTATTTCTGGGAGCTGGCAGACACTCGTTAGTCCCCCGGGACCACAGAGAACGACGCGTGCACTTTAAACCCGTGCACGAGCACTTCGAGCAGCTAGTCCGCACCGCTCTGCGCAGAGCGAGCCCCTGCCTTTAAACCCAGCCGCAGCTTCTCCCTCGAAGGGGCTGGACTACACGTCTAAATTCCCGGCTCTTCGGACTGCGGCTAGAGAGTCTGGTTTCTAACCCTCCTACCTTTGGCTGCCGGCCGGGTCCTCCGGGAGCCTGGCCGGTTTCTGGCTGGTGAGACCTTGGACTCAGTAACATCGCCACCCACAGCTATTTCTCTGTGGTAAACCGTGGGAGCCACTGACACGGGACAGGAGAGGCTTGTGGGCACTTCCGGTGTTCCTCCCTCCCCCCTCCACGCCGTCTTCTGAGGAAAAAAGCAAACACAAACTTTTCGCTTCCACCGGGAAGGAATTGGACTCTACCTCCAGTGCCCTCACTTTTCCCGCAGCTGCCTGAGGGTCTGGGCTTCCATTGCCTGTGTCTGGGAACTCCTGGGGCCTGGCATTTGCTAGTCCCTCGGATCTCCGGTGAACAAAGCAGTTTTAAATGACTCTGCAGGCTCTCCTGCGAGCCGGGTCCTATCACGTTCCTGCAATAATGCCCATCTCCCACCTTCTGCCTGAAAGGGGCGACACTGCACGCCCAGTGCCTCAACTTCTCCAGCTGTTTCCCCGGAGGTCTGGCTCCTAACTGGCTTGTCTCTGGCAGGTAATCCCTAGCCTCCTGGTGATTTGAGATGGCGGGTGGGCACTGCCTACAACACCCCCCTTGCCCCCTTACTCCAGAGACAGAGCCAAGCCTCCAGCTAACCCACCTGTCTCTGAGAGCTGATGAGCCCTGTGGTTCGGTTGGTCCCCTGAGAGAGACAGAGAGCAACACAACCGTAGGAAGAGCACGTGGCCTGAACAAGAGGGCAGGCATTTGCCACAGCTCCTTCCCCCAGCTCAGTGCAGAGTGGGTGGGCACTCCAGCTCCCAGGTTCTCATGGAGGAGAGAAGGACTTGGACCCGACATCTAGGACCCCAGCTTTTCCAGGGGCTACTAGAAGGGCTGGCTTCTATCTTGCCTGTCTCGAGGAACTGAGACAGTGGCACACCCTCATCTCCTGGGGAGGAAAATGACAACTATATGAGGAAATGGTTATGTTATAATTAGTTTGACTGTAGTAATCATTTCACTATGCGAATGCATATCAAAACCTCATGCCATAGACATTAAATATATAGTCTTATTTTAAAAATTTTAAAAAAGGAAAACAAATGTGTATACTCAACTTTTTGGGAGCAGAGCAGTATTAACCTATTATCTATTAGAACAGTTCATAAATTATGTTGCTCAAACCTTCCAAAATTTCAACTGTTTTACCTACATTCTATCATTTTTCAGGATTTAGAATGTCCCTTATGATTTTAGATACATTTTAACTAAAAACCTTTTTCTATCATGAATCACACATTTGTCGATAATGTCTTTTTACAGGAGAGTGGGGAAGACAGCATATGTATATTTTTAAAATTTCTAGTGCCACTCCTTTTTCAAAACTCTGCTGCTTACATATCTCTTAGATAACATCTTTTATTCTATCCATAACTCACCCAAACCCTCATCGATATTATTAAAGCCCTAAATTCTCAGAAACTGACTTCTGAGACTCATTATAAGAGGATGCTCCCTTTTTGGCAGACTTTGCTTATTGATATTAGGAATAGCAAGACACATTTCAATATAGTGTGGGACTTATCTAAACCTGATTTTAAAAGCATATCCTTATAAACAAATATACATAAAATTTAATGTTGATGTAATATTTTACAAGTCCAATGATTTATCTTAGGTTAACCTTAAATATCATAAAGTAGGACATTTTACTTGATTCCTCTAATTTTCTAATCAATTATATATTTTAATTAGACTCATGCACTGATTCTCAATGATAAACACATGGGAGACTTAGATTTAAGCCAACAGGCACTTTAATACTTTCACTATGAGGATTATGCCATTGCTTTTTGAGGGACTGGAACACTGATGCTCATCATTCTTGGCATCCCAGCCTGATGTGCATTGGACTAAGTTCTAAGCAGAAGGTTTTATGAGGGATAACAAATAGTGATTAAGTTATAACTTTTTCTAAGTTTGATGATCCCTTTTTTCCCTGACTCTAGTCATCTTGATTGGATTTGAGGATATTCCACAAATTTACAAATTGTCCCTAAGGATGAGCTACTTCTAAGATGGCACCTCTCAAATATTACTTCTTGATTTTTTCCCATCTTTTCTCTTCTGTGGCTAATCTTTTATTGAAATTAAAGGGACACATCTTTCAAACTCATTCTCAAAATTCTCACTTGATTAATTTTAAGTCTTCTTCTTGTACTTGAGCTGCTAAAAGTAAATCAGAACCATTCTCAATGTTTCTTGACCTATAACTGGCTTTTGATAACATAGAAGTTTCACTAAAATAAATGCTTTTGATATGTATTTTTAGTTTATAATCCTTTAAGATATATTGAAGCACTACTGATTGAATAAGAATAAAAAATATATAGATACATTTTCAGGGGCGCCTGGGTGGCTCAGTTGGTTAAGCGACTGCCTTTGGCTCAGGTCATGATCCTGGAGTCCCGGGATCGAGTCCCGCATTGGGCTCCCTGCTCGGCGGGGGGGTCTGCTTCTCCCTCTGCCCTCTTCCCTCTCGTGCTCTCTGTCTCTCATTCTCTCTCTCTCAAATAAATAAATAAAATCTTTAAAAAAAAAAAAGATACATTTTCAGTTTTAAATGATAAAAATGATTTTCTTGTATCACATAATTTTCTATCCAACATTCTATAATTGTTTGTGATTATATAATCATAGGGTCCTAAAAGCCCTGTAAATCTTCAGGATCTTTTAATGTTTTATGTATACTAACTCTTCTTATTCTCAAACTATCTTACAGATGAGGAAATGAGTCACAGTGAAATCAGATGACTTTCCTAGATCAAAAAGCTAGTAAGAAATGAAGCAAGGATTTAAATCTGAGCAGCCTTGTCTGGAGTCCTCTGGGCTTTATTGGAACTTCTGGCAATAAATCAAACTACACATTATTACACACAAAAGAGTATGAGAAACTTGTTAAAGGGATATAAGAATCCAAGGAAAAAATACAACATTGTCTTGGAAGTAGAATGACAACATACCAAGCGGGGGCAGTATTTTTAACAAGGTAAGTGTAAAGTAGAAATTTAACAGTTCCATTCCTTTTACTACTTATTAGTGTAGCTTACTCTTACTATTTTTTTTAACCCCAAAATATTTTCAGAGCTGTTTGTAAGAATGCCACAATCACTCCTATCATTACATATTTTTTTTCTGGAAGTTTTAGATAATAATCAAGAAAAACTAAAAGACATTTGAAAGAAAGAATTATCATTAGTATTTGCAGAAGTGATTATATTCTTTTTTAAAAATTTTCAGTATCGTTAACATACAGTGTTATATTACTTTCAGTGTACAATACAGTGATTCCACAATTCTGTACATTACTCAGTGTTCATCTTACTAAGTGTACTCTTAATCCCCTTCACCTATTTCACACATCCCCTCCCCCGACCTCTCCTCTGGTAACCATCAATGTGTTCTCTATAGTTGAGTCTGGTGTTTTTTTGTTTTGTTTTGTTTTGTTTTGTTTTTTTAGATTTTCTCCTTTTTCTTTGTTCATTTGTTTTGTTTCTTAAATTACACATATGGGTGAAATCATATGGTATTTGTCTTCCTCTGACTGACTTATTTTGCTTAGCATTACACCCTTTAGATACATCCATGTTGTTGCACATGACAGGATTTCATTCTTTTTTTATGGCTAGGTAATATTCAATTGTATATATATATATATACACCACATCTTCCTCACCCACTCATCTGTTGATGCTGCTTCCATATTTTTGCTATTGTAAATAATGCAATAAACATTAAGGTGCATATATCTTTTCAGATTAGTGTTTTCATATTCTTTGGTAAATACCCAGTAGTGGAGTTACTGGATCATCTGGTAATTCTATTTTTTTTTTAATTTTTTGAGGAACCTCCATACTGTTTTCCACAGTGGCTGCACCAGTTAGCTTTCCTGCAACAGTGCATGAGGGTTCCTTTTTCTCCACACCCTCACCAACACTTATTGTTTCTTGTGTTTTTGATTTTAGCCATTCTGACAAGTCTGAGGTAATATCTCACTGTGGTTTTATTTGCATTTCCCTGAGGATGAGCGATGTTGAGCATCTTTTCATGTGTCTGTTGGCCATCTGTATGTCATCTTTGGAGAAATGTCTGTTCATGCCTTTGGCTCATTTTTTAATTGTGTGTGTGTGTGTGTGTGTGTGTTGAGTTGCATAAGTTCTTTATATATTTTGGATTCTAACGCTTTATCAGATATGTCATTTGCAAATATCTTCTCCCATTAAGTAGGTTGTCTTTTAATTTTTTTGGTTGTTGCTGGTTTTTGTTTTGATTTTGTTTTTGTTTTTTGTTTTGTTTTGTTTTTGCTGTCTTTAAGCTTTTTACCTTATGTATTTGCAATAGTTTAATTTTCTTTTGTTTCCCTTGCCTCAGGAGACATAGCTAGAAAACTGCCGCTACTTCCAATGACAGAGAAATTACTGCCTGTGCTCTCTTTTAGGATTTTTATGCTGTCAGGTCCCACATTTAGGTCTTTAATCCATTTTAAGTTTATCGTCATGTATGGTTTGAAAAGGTGGTCCAGTTTCATTCTTCTGCATGCTGCTGTCCAGTTTTCCCAACACCATTTGTTGAAGGACTTTTTCCCATTGCATATTCTTGTCTTTTTCGTCAGATTAATTGACCACATAATTGTGGGTTTATTTCTGATTATATTCTTAAAAAATAGCTCCCAAGAAGCTCAATTAAAACATTGTTGAAGTTCAAAAATTCATCTTATTTGAAAATACAATTTGAATAGTTCCATATGGCAACATAAAATGTAAAATGTCTGATAATAAATGAATAAAATATATAGAACTTAAAAATGGGCATTATAAATGTCTCTTGGAAGGAAACTGAAGCAAACAAATAATTGGATTATATACCTAATAGATGGTATCTCTATTAATTTATTGAGCACATATTAATTGAATAATCAGTATATGGCAAGTACTCCATGGATAAAATGTGTGAGCCAAACATTGCCTTTACTGAACTTACTATTGAGTGGCAGAAGGATTAGTCATATGGCCTATAAAAGTTACTATGTAATAGAAGACTGTAACCTAGTAAAGGAGTTCACAGAAACTACCCTATGAAAGAGACAATATATGTAAAATTGAAAATAAATTGAAGAGGCTCCTAGCTGCAGAGGGTGGGAGTGGATAGCCCCTTCAAGGCAGAAGGAACCTTTGTTTAAGACCCTGCTTGGAGCAGAAACATAGCAGTATTAGGGGAAAACTCCTGTGGAATTAAAGTACAGTGAGTGCAAAGAAGTACACTGAAAGGTGAAACTATGATAGTGGGTACATAGCAGATGATATTAGTCCTGCTCAGACATGGTAAAGATG